CACCCTGCTTGGCCGGCGCCCGGCTGTCAGGCGTAAGCCTCTTAAATCCGGGCGCCGGCCACGGGCCCGTGTCCTTGCCGGAGGCCTTCGGTTGGTAACCGAAGGTTATATACGCTCGCCGCCCCTGCCGCCGACCCTTTTGTTGGACCGCGGGGATACCCCCGCCCGACCCCCGCCCGAATCCGCCCGACAGATTTATATGTATCTTGCGCTGGATGTTCGAAAAATGTTCAAAAACATCGTTTTTTACAGTGTTTCGTGGCCTTCGGCGTCCACGACAGGGTGCCCGTGGTGTCGGTTTTGCGTGCCGCGCGGACAGGCTTAATCGACATTTCGTGGGTGTTGGGCACATGAGTCGCCTTACATATCCCTAACATAGGCCCAAGATAGCCAACATATCCCCAACATATGTCCAACATAGCCTCCAAGATGGCTCAACATAGGGCCAACATAGACCAACATGGGGCCAACATACGCCAACATAGGCCCAACATAGGCCCAACCTAGGCCAACATAGGCCTAACATAGGCCGACCTAGGCCCAACATAGGCTCAACATGGGCCCAAGATGCGCCCAACATAGACCACATGGGCTCAACTTGGCCCAACCTGGGGCCAAGATGCGCACCAGATAGCTTAACTTTGCTCAATAGGAGAGGGAAAGAGAGAGAGTGAGAGAGAGGGAGAGGGAAAGCGAAAGCGAGAGAGAGGGAGAGAGAGAGAGGCAAAGACAGCGAAGACGGAGACAGAGAAGACCGAGACAGAGACAGAGAAGACAGAGACAGAGACTGACAGAGAAAGAGACAGAGACAGAGACAGAGACAGGGACAGAGACAGAGACAGAGACCGACAGCGAGAGAGAGAGAGAGAGAGGGAGAGGGAGAGAGGATCCAGTGCGCGGACTCTAACCCAAATTGGCCGGCGCCCGGCTGTCAGGCGTAAGCCTCATAAATAATATATTATAATTATATACAGTAGTTATATAGTTCCCATGGGTTGAAAGAAGCACCCAATGCACTGGGAACAAAATAAAAGAAACATAAAGAAACGTCAGTGGGTCCACACCTGCACTAACATATTTACGCGACTCGATGTCGAAGCGATGTGCCTTCGTGTTCCCTTGATCTTCCGCTAGTGCGGACAAGCTAATCCAGCTCTGTCCTGTTTCCATGAGGGTCCTGCCAGTTCGGAGCTGTTGTCAAACAAAAACTCTTTGGAGCTTTCTGCTCTTGCTTTAGGGATTCCCTTGTTACAATTAGAGCAACACATCGATTGAAAACACTGTCACCATGTTCACGCTAGAGGCATCGGCCTGAAACCAAACACAACACTGGAGGAGAAACTGCATTGATGTGGTGTTGGGGGCCTTCTGTAGAGATGTCTTGGATTGTATCAAGAACCGTTTCCGGCAGAAACTCTCAAATAAATCAACAAAGGAAGAACTGACCCTGACCGATCTGGCAAAAAAAGTGAGTGCAAATTTGTTCGGCAGCCTTGCTTCCTGGTGAAATTGAATATGAGATAGAATCATGGAAACCTTCAACGCATAATACCACTACAAGCTGTACAGCATGCTTGATCGAGGACATCTCCCAAAGAATCTACGAGGGAAGTTCTCCTCGCAGAACATGTCCAGATCCGAAAGGTTGTGATGGCAAGGGCCTATGATGGCTCTGGTTCGACATCGATGGATTCTCTGCTTCCACATCGACACAGCACCAGCGAACCAACGCCATTGTCCCGTCCAGGAACCAACGCCGTACCAAAGGCAAGCAATGATGTGGTTGATGAGCAACATCATGATCAGGCCCAAAACAACCTGAAATATGCAGCGACATCTCCTGCAAAATCGTGCAAAACTCTTCGTCCAAAAGTGTCAGTGATGTTCGTGTCCAAGATC